CAAAGTTGCTTTTCTATGATGTTAATGTATAAATTGTTCTTCTAGTTTTTGTTCGCTTCACTTGACATCTGTTCATAAGGGTCTTCCTAGTTTCCTCTGAAGTTGTCCACTTCATAATTTCTTATGATACAATAGTACTCCATTACATTCATATACCACAGTTTGTTTAGCTGTTCCTCAATTGGAGGTTCCCTGTTTAGTTTCCAATTTTGGGCTCCTATGAAAAGAGATTAATTTTTTTTTTACACATACGTTTTCTTCTTTATTTGGTAAATAGTCCTAGTTGAAATGTAGCTGGATCAAAGCATATGCAGTTTGGTAACTTTCTATGCGTAGTTCCAAATTGTGTTTTAGAATGGCTGGACCAAAACACAGCTCTACAACCAATACACTAATTCATGGTAACTTCAATTTTTAGAACATTTTTTTTCATTTGGCTATTGATACCTTGGATTTCTTCTTTTGAAAACTTCCTGTTCTTATCTAGTAAATGTTTACCTCCTGGTAAATGAAAGAGCTTCTGCTTCTGCACACTAGAAGCACAGCAAAAGAGAGCAATGAAAATGGTATGGCATGGGAATCCAGCTTGATACAGTTTTATCCAGTCATGGTTAAACACTGATTCTACTTTATATCAGAAACACACACACCGTGACCATTGCTGTCACAAAATCAAACCATGTCAAAATTACTTTTTGTCCCAAGTGATTCGCATAATACTGTAAATAACAGTAAAAAAAGTCACAATACTATCAATGCCAAATAGTTGTGCAGATACTTTAAGTACTATCCCACCAATGGAAGGCCCATCTATTGTTCATTGAAGTGATGGGGAAAACTTCATCTCTTAAGCATTTTAAGTGCCTGCTATGCCAAGCACTGACTGTATTAAGTGCTGAAGATAAAAATGTGGACTTCTGGACAGTCCCTGCCCTCAAGGAACTTACATGCTAACAGAAAGAAGCCCCACATATTGGGGAAATGGTGGCCAGGGTGTTTTGGTTTGGAAAGTTAAAGGGGTGGTGAATGCAGCAAAGAGTAGTTTGGCAGTAATTCATTTGATTGTAGTTAATGGGGCTAGTACTTAGAGGAGAAGGAAGCCTTGGAGTAAAATGAATTTGAAGTGGAGTGTGAAGCACTCATCTTTCAGGACAGGTGGAGCTAAAGATGGGAGTTCTTGAATTGAAGCTTTTAAGTTCTCAAGGGCAGGGTCTCTGGTCCAGGCAGCAAAATGACTGATGAGAAAGGGTTGCTGGGATTGTATACAAAAGTGATTCTAATTCCAGGAAGTTAATTTTCTACCAGACAAGGTGGACTTTGAACTGGACTGGGAAGGATGGGTTGTAGGTCATTCCATGTAGGAAAATTGGGATAAGCAGAATTGTGAATATTGTTACAGTTTGAATAAAGAGTACACTAGTCAGAGAGAAGCAGAATGGGTAGTAAATGATAAATTTGGAAAGATTAGTTGGGCCCTGAATGTCAAGCTGAATATTTTATACTTTTATCTAGTAGGGAAAAGGGAACTATTGAAGGTTTTTGATCAAAGCAGTGACCTGAACATTTGAGAAAGAGGCATGAAGACTAGTTAGGAAATTGTTGGTGATAATCCAGGATTGAGGAGAAGCATGCTTGAATTAGTGTAGGAATGGAAAATAGGGATTCCTGAGAGGCATGAAGAAAGGATTAAATTGGACTTGGTAGTTAGATATTTGTTACGTGGTAGCAAGGAAGACAAGATTTAAAAATTACTTAGATTTTCCAACTTAGGTGAATGATGCCAAGAAGAACAAGAATAAAGAAGTCAGAAATTAGATTCAGCAAGTATTTATTAAGCATTAGGTGCAAAGCATTAATTGTTCTAGGAACTGGGAATGAAAAAAGAAAAACTTCCTAAATACTTTCTATTTGGGTACATAGGAAGCATTAACATCTAGGGGGATGGGGGTAGGGTTAAGGTGTCACAGTTGAGATGGTTCCCATGAAATTGAGGTAGGAAGAGAGAGATAATAGTTGAGTTTTCTGAGGGATAAATAGGAAGCCAAGAACAATGTTCTTTTTCAGTGAGTAATATGGAATGTCTGATTTGTAAAAATGCTTTTTGTCTTAGAGAAAAAAGTGCTTTCACATAACCCTATTTGACAGATAAAGAATTTGGGGGACAGATTAGATGACTAAACTGTTTTGGTTAAAGCACCATGTCCAGTAACCAGTTTACAACCTCAGTTATTATCAATTCATTTTCCATTCCTCTTCTCCATCTCTGTCCCTCTCATTCCTTCTTTACATACTCCTCCTTCTCCCCATTCCCAATCATTTGGCCATGTCTTGCCAATTCTAACTCCACAACATTTCCTATCTGTCCATCACCACCACCATAGTTAGGCCCTCATCACCTCTCACTTGGACTATTGCTATAGCTTTCTCATGGTCTGCTATATCTAGTATCCCCTTTCCAATTCCTCTTCCTCACAAAGTGATATTCCTAAAGCCAAACTGATATTCGAAAAAAAACAGGTCAGTTACGTTATTACCTTGCTCAGAGGCTCCCTGTTAGCTTTAGGATAAAATACAAACTTCTTCAATCTGTATTTCCAGGCTTATTACAATATTTTTCTTTTTATCTTATATCTACAGTGCTGCTGTGGATATTTTGTTGCCTACCTGAATGTAGGGACAGTGGTTTGCCTCTTTGTATTCCCAGTTCTTGGCACAGCAGCTGGTACATAGTAGGCAAAGTGCTTTGCATTTAATCTTGACAATCGTATGAGCCCTCCCCACCCCCCCAAACCAGTGAGGCTTTCTTGTGGTGATTTATTAATTTCCTCATCTTTTAGTTGTGTTGTAGTTTATTTGTTGCACTTGTAACTGTTTTGAAGGTTGGGAGCCGGGCTTAGGCAGGATTTCAGCTATCTTGCCAGAAGTTGAATTCAGATTTAGGTAAGTCGCTACACACACACACACACCCACACACCCACACACACACACACACACCATTTTAGAAGTCACCTAATCCAACCCTCATTTTATAGATTAGGGAACTCAGTAAGTGGTAGGTCCTGGATTAGAATTGAGGCCTTTACCATAACTCCTATTCCACAATCAAAGTTAAACAAAATTGACAAAAATATTATAACTGACATTGTCTGGAAAATTAAGTAAGAAATGCTTTTGATCATGTTCTTCATGATTAAGATTTGGCCTTGCAATTAATCTGAGTGTTGCTGCCTTTTAATGTTTTCATTTGTTCTAGTTAGTCATTGTGTATACACTCTTGTTTCTGATTATTATTTCTCTGTGTATCAGTTTATACAAATCATCCTGATTGATCTTCATTGGTTGATAGATTTAGAGCTGGCTAGGACCTTAGAGATGATCTAGTCAAACTTAAGGCATGTTGTGATTTGTCCCCCCCACAGATAAAAAGTGGCAGATATTTGAATCCAGTTACTCCAAATCCAGCCTTCTTAGTATTCCATTCATTCATCACAGTTGTTCTATCATTTCAATGTCAGTAAACAGGTGTGTGTGTGTGTGTGTGTGTATTTGTTTTGTTTTTTGTCATTACCAAAAGTGCTGCCGTAGATATTTTGTTGTATACCTTGTTGAACTTTTCTGTCTTCTGTGGGATTCTATGCCTATAATAATATTGTTGAATCAAAAAATAAGTAATATAGTCTTTATTTCATTTCTCTTTCTGTCTTTCTCCACTACACAGTAAATGCCTCATGTTATATAGCCTGCAGCACTTCTTTTGGTTTTCTTGACTAGTTATTTTCAAATGTTGAGGATTAACTCCTAGATGTTTCTATAGAAATTCAGTACTTTTGAAGCAAAAAAGGGCATAATGACATTAAATACTTAAGCAGAACTTAAAAACAAGGAAGTTAAAATACAATGGGTTAAAAGATTTGGAATGCTAGTGCTTATAGAATCATGTGATTACTGAAAATTTTGAAGGATACTTTTGAGGAATTTTAGTAAACCCCTTTGCTTAGCAATCTTCAACAATTGAGAAGTACTCACTTCCAACTACAAGAATTGTTACTGTATTTCCCTCTGTCTTTGACTTCCTCAGAATATTTACCTAGTACGTATATCTCTGGGTCGGTTTCTACATACACCAAACATTTGTGGAACAACTGTTTTGCACTAGACACAAACTGATCTTAATGTATAAAATTAACAATTTGAGAGTGAATGAAATTGACAAATAAAAAGCAGATATAAGAATTTCATTAAAGGCATAGAGACCTATTGACTTTAGAAACAGTATTTCTGCAGGAGAATGTCTTAAACGTGTTTTGTCCATCTTTTTGGCAATGCATTTCTGTTTGATCTTGCGTGAATTTGCTATCTGGAATAATTCATCTAATTTAATATACATTAGTTCCTAATAATGGTAATATTGATATGTGATGGTAATATTATTATGAGCAATATTAATATTATTATGAGCAATAACTTTCCAATGATTTTTATAGCATTTTCTTCTAAGAAATAACTAATTAAGAATTGGTCAGTTGTGTTCTAACTAAAAACTGAGTTTAGAGTCAAGCAAATAGAACAGTAGCTTAAGATTTGTTAGCACTTGCTTTAGTATTTTTCCTTTTATTAAATAAGTAATAGAGGAAGAAGTGCTTCATTTGAAATAAGACTGGGGTTCAAATCCTACCTCAGACACTTAATTGCTAATATGACTGGGCAAATAAATGTATAAATCGGGATAATAATACTTGCACTTTTTTGCCTCATATATTGGTTGTGAGGAAAGTGCTTTGTAGACACTGTCCTGCTGTATAAATGTGAGTAGCTGGTGGAAGAGAAACCCAGATCTCTGATGTTCTTTATATCTTGCTATCTTTTTATCATGTGAGACATTTTTAAAAGGAAAATTTATTTTATTCCTGAGATTATATAAATTAGGTTACATCTCTACAATTAATGGGAAATTTTAGTTAATTTTTCATACTGAACTTTTTTATATCTTTATTTTACAGGTGGTATGGTCAAGAAAAAGACTATAATGTTCTAGTCATGGATCTTCTTGGACCGAGTCTTGAAGACCTCTTCAATTTCTGTTCCCGCAGATTCACAATGAAAACAGTACTTATGTTAGCTGACCAGGTACATAATGTTTATAAAGAAAAGATATAATTAAAATTGATAGAATAGCATTTTGCATAATTCTGACATGTCAGTACTTTGTAATATGGTCCTTTTTGACTATGTAGAAAACAATTATTCTAGGAATTACATAGGATGTCCCAAAAGTGCTTGGTACAATTTTAGGCTATTCTGTCAAACTTTGCCACAGCATGAAAAAAGAAACTAATAATTTTCAACCAACAAATAATTACACTTGACAATTGGCCTTGCTTACATGGCACTAGGAACAGACACTGACCATATCCTTAGTTAATTTTATTATTCTTTTTTAGACTGGGAGCAAGAAGAAGGGCCCTTTGTTTAAAGCAGACTCTATATTGCTGTCATAGTTCTACAGTTTTTTTTATCGGGTTGGGGAGTTAGAAAAGAAGACAGTATAATGTTACGTAGAAAACACTGGTGTAGGAAGTGAAATTTTGGGTTCCTTTAGGGATTTGTCAGTGACTCAAGAGATATTTGAGTTTGAACTAATTAGGTTCTGGTCTTCAGAGTCACTCATCTATAAATTAAGAAGTTTGGACTAGACATAAGATCTCTTCTGTCTTTAACATTATATGATTCTCTGAGACAGATCTTTACTTGAACATCGTTATCACAGGGTCTTAAACTAAGGTGTCTCTAAGGATGTTCTTCTGAGAGGGGCTCTAAGTGGGAGTGGCCCTTCCTTCTTCCATCTGAAACCGAAGCTTACAGGAATTAATGTGGGTATATGCAGATTAAGACAGTTCTTCATATTTAGGATGGGGAGTACACAAAATTTAGATAATTTTTTGTCAGGCTTCTGTGAAAGTTTTTCAGGTTCTTTCACAGATGGGTGTAATGCATTTGGGAAGTAAAGAATAGGAAAAGAGAACATAGTTGACAGAATTAGAAGAGGTATAAGAGGGAAGGGAAAATGCCTTGGAAAAAATCAATTATTTGGACATTTATGGCAAATTATATATAGATATAATAGATAAGTTGGCACTTGAGCATAAAACCAATTACTTGTCTCTGATTTTTTTTAATCTTAAAAACTAAAGTTTGTTTTACAGATTAAAATTTAGTATTAGTGGTTTTCAGATTAGACCTGTGAAATTTAGTGATCACTTACATTTATAAAGCACTTTATAGTTATCAGCCTTTTTATATCCATTATTCTCATTTGATCTTCACAACAATCCTGTGAGAATGGTATAAAATTGCAGATTCTTAAGTACAAAATTAGTAGACTTGAAAAATAATGTAGAAATTCAAGTGGCATCACCATTTTACAAATGAAGAAATGGAAGTTCTGAGAGGTTGCAGCTTGCCCAGTCACAAAGCTAATAAAAGGGGGAAGGGAAGACTACAAGCAATTACTAAAGCCTATTATGCACTTTACAAATACTATCACATTTGATCAAAGCTAATATGTGACGAAAGATCCATGTCCTCTGATATCAAATCAAGTACCTCTTCTATTATACGAATTACCTTTCAGAGTTCTTATTAGGAACCTTTCAGAAAATCAAAAGCATTTTTACATTCAGCCATCAAAATCTTTTGGAAAGTCAGGAGTATTATTTGTTCTTTAGAGATGACTATCTAAGTAAAACTATGACTAAATAAAATCATTATGATTATTGATATTCCCTCATTGAAGATAAAAGCCATCATTTAAACTTACAGATAAATTATCTGTAATTACAATTTGTCTGCCAGTTGACTGATATGCTGAAAATTAGAGTTTTTATAGACTGAACTTGATAGCATTTTTCCTCTGAAAAGGAAAAGCCAGAGCAAAGAAATGATATTACTCACATACTATATATAATTCCTAGCTCATTGTGCTCAATAAGTATTCATTAAAGAGTTTTCCACATTTTTAGTCCTAGTTTCAGAGGATAAGATTTAGGGGTAAGATTATGAGAGATATGTACCTATAGTTAAAAAAAATAATACCCTTGAGCAAGAAACAGGCAAATGAAAAACAGAAGCTGAAGATATCCTGATTACTAAAGACCAAAAAAACCCAGATGGTGAAATGAAGTACCTGTTTGTGTAATTCAATTCAACAAGCATTTATTGAAGTACTTACTGTATGTCAGACTGTTGGGTCTTTGGGATATAAACACAGAAATGAAAGCTCCCACCTTCAATGAGTTTACCTTGTACTAGAGGATATAACATATATACAAGTAAGAACAAAGAATATACAAAGGAATTTCAAAATGAAGAGAGCATTAATAACTGTGAAGCCCAGGAAAGGCCTTTGGTATGAACCGGAGCTAGAACTTGGTAAGCTGAGGCAGTTGTGGGAGGGAGTGTGGGCAAAGGCATGGAAATGGGAGATGGAATATGATATTGAGAGTAGCCAGCATGGTGTTTTGACTGGGATGGGAGTGTACGTTAATGGAAGTAACATGAAGTAAGAGTCAGATAACTACCATATATTCCTGTGTACCACAAATTATCTTTTTTTCCTCCAAGTATTTTCTCCCACCCCCCCAATTTAAAAAAAAAAAATCTCATGAGAATTAAAGGTCTATAAATGTCATTTTTATGATGCAACAGCTATGTGTTTGTGTGTATGTTCATTATACCACAAAGAAGTCCTTTGATGTTCTTATGATCTGTTAATAGAAGAGACTAACCATTGGATTTATTTGGTATTCAGTATACCATACTTTTAAGAACTCTTGAACCAATGTCAAATGGTGACTTTTTTCAAGAATGTGTTTGGTCCCTTTATCTGTATAATTTTGTAAAATGATGCTTTTAATAACCTAACAAAGGTTGGTGAAGGGGGTGAGGGAATACCTTACAGTGCTTATGAACTTTTTGGTCAGATGAACTTGTTTATAACTAGTATGTTAATTTTATTTTAACTCAGTTCTTTTTTTTTTTTCCAGATGATCAGTAGAATTGAATTTGTGCATACAAAGAATTTTATACACAGAGACATTAAACCAGATAATTTCCTAATGGGTATTGGGCGTCACTGTAATAAGGTTAGTCCAGTGTTCTTTGCATGAAAGAACAAAGTGTATCTCTCTAATCTCTGATAAAATATCAGCTTTAAAAAATTCTTAGTACTTAAATTAGCTGTTTGTAATTGCTTACAAAGATTGTTCCACAAAGACCAAATCACCCAACTTCTAACTTGTTAACTTTTGGTTGTTTTCCACCTCCTTCAGCCAAGAAGGTTAGTTAGATCTCCATATGGAAGTGTTTAACCTAAAAGTCCAAATGCTCTATAAAGAAATTTGCCTATGTTGTTTCACTTTTGAACTACTGTGTCCATCATTCACGTATTATAATAGTGGGAGTCCCCATATATTTTTGTAAATGTTAAAATTCAATATTAACTTTGTGGCTCTCAGTTTTGGATTTCCTGACATGTGTTTGTGCCAGCATTGGAGCTACTGACCCACCTATCACCAAGGCATTAAAGTTTGCTGACTGAGAATGGTTGGTAATCAGAATTCTTTAGCCCCTGAATCTGTGTTTATAAGTGCCACCCTTGAGCCTATTTCAGAAGTAATTGACAATTTTATCTATATGCTACACTTGCCCAGATGCTAAGTTGGGAGGGCTTTTTTTTTTAAGTAACAATTTAGAAAAGTAAAATTATGTCATAAAACCACTGTCATACTTTGGTATTTCTGAAAGCTGTTGAACTTATGTGGTGAGTGGGTCTTAGTGATGCATGATTGCAGTCAAAAACCATATAATCGTATAGAAATTTTATCTTCGATGATTAGTTTTGTTGAGTGAATTGCATAATTTACCGATTCAATGTTCAGCTCGGGCAGACAGGCAGCATTGGCAATGCACTAAGCATGCTGTGTTCTGAGAGAAATTCTCAACTGCAGGACAACTGTACATTTTTTTTTAAATTGGAAGCAAGATTCCCATTGTTTTGTTAAGCCGTCACTATGTTTGGTGTTTTTAAGCTCTAGCTGCAAATGTTTACCTTTGTTTGCCTGTATGAATGCCAACTTGGAGCATTAGACATGGAATTGGTTGCTGACGTGTGAGATGTTAGTGTCGGTCTGACTTAGTTTTATAGAATTAAATTTTTTTGGTTAAGAAACTGAGCTTTTTAATAGTATTCAACAATCTACATGTAACTTGTTAAATCTTGCCCATTCCCAAGTTAAATATTTTTTGTCTTATTAGCTGTTTCTTTGCTACAAATTAACCAGGGTTTTAAATATCCTGGAAAAAAATATGATAGTAATTCAGTTGGAAGAAAAACAAAGTATTTATTTTAATTTTTTGGTAATTTTGTCAATTTCTCAATCTTTCCCCATATTTGGCCATTTCCCAACCCCCTTCCCTTCATTTCCTTATCTCCATTAACTTGGCTTCTACCCCTCTTAATACCCACTGTCTGCACAGTCATGCTGGGTTAACATTGCAGTACCATGTTTTTACTTTAAACTGGAGTAATGGCCCAGAAAATGGTGCTTTGTATTTTAAGAAATAGTTAGTCACATAGATGTAATAGGAAGCCCAAATTACTCCCATGATGTTTTAAAAGTCCTGTGTACTCTCCTTTTGGAGTGACAGCCATAAAAATGATAAATTTGTCTTACACGATTTTAGAGTCTGGCATAGACCTGCAGTATTTTGATTATCTAGGAGTCAAGCAACAAATATGCTCTTAAAATTTTAAATTAAGAATTGATTAATTTTAACAGCTTCCAAATGTAAAATAGTATCTGTAGGTGATTTTTAGTGTTTTCTATACTATAGATAGTAATGCCAGTTGAATAAAGAGTGGATTCTGTGGTAATCTTGTTCCAGTAGTTTTATTAATAGAAAAAATTTTTTTTTAAAATAAGTGATTTTTAACCAAATTTATTATTTGGAAAATTGTTCTGAATGGATATTAAGGAGTGACTACTCCTGTCTTTAAAAGGTGAATTTGTTCACCTCTGCCAATAATCAGCCCTGCATGCTTATAACTTTAAGGTGACTAAATGCCTTCTACCTCTTCCTTACTGAAGATTTTTTCCCCTATTTACTTTTTTTGGGGGAAGGGCAGTTTGTGGTACAAAAGATTGCAAAGACTAAATTTCTATTTTAAAATAGAGCCAAATGTCACCATTGCTATCCCTGTTTACAGCAGTGGCACTATATACAGTGACACTTAAAATTAAGTTGTTTTCTAGGATTCAAATTTTCTTGAGCATGTGATTCTTCTCAATATTTGGAAAACTGAGAAGCTCCAAGTGCTTGGTGGAAGAAGGATGGCATTTGGCTACCCTTTTCTTTCTCTGATGCCTCGGTGTTGCCTGTCTGCGCCGGCCATTGTTGCAATGTAAGCAATCCTGTTTGATGCACTGCCACCCTCTATTGTCTGTTTAGTGTTTAGAATCTCCAGTGGGGAAGAGGAAAAGAAGCATGACTGTTAGTACTTCTCAGGACCCATCTTTCTCAGGATTAAACCAGGTCTGAAACTGTCTCCTATTCCAACCTCAACCCCAAATTCATGTGCTTTTTTTGGTTTTATTTTTTGTTTTGTTTGATTTCTGGAGAATGTAGACCTTGCTCAAGCACCTCTTACGTTGGCATTATTCAGACATACTTGGCAAACATGTAACGTTACTAAGATGTTCCCTTGTGGCTGTTGCTTAAACTATAAAGTTTAGAGAAAAGTATGTGTAAATAGGATTAATTTTAGACATCTAACATCTACATGAGAAAATGTTGTGTAGTTCTGGTATCAAAAATTATTTAGAGTATCATTTGGGTTGAACTTAAGGGAATAGCCTGTTTATTTTATTAAAATGGCACTTGGAGTACTAGATCTTAATGCATGGGGGAACATAGCTAACCTTAGCTGTATCTGAATACTCTGTATCTGAAATTACTTCTGGAAACCACTTGTGTCCCTTTTTTCTGATCTTAATGAATTTCAGGTAAGTAAATTTTAAGTTTCAGATCTTGGGCATATGGTAAAACGATTCATCCTAGTTCTATATTCCTTTCTCTCTACTTAGGAACTAAATGGCTGTTCAGTACACTAAATGTTTTGGGACCAGAAATCTTGGTAAAAAGTCATACTACATTAGTATCTCAGGGAGAGTAGTAATTGAACTTTATATAATATTTTGTAGCTACAAAATGTTTCCTACCTTTAACTTGCTCCTTACAACAGCCCCCTGTGTTACAGTTATTGCCCTTATTTAACAGGTGAGGACCTGAGATTGAGAGAAGTGAAGTTGATTTGCTTGAGAATGGTCAGGTAACTAGTAAAATAGTGGAGCAGGGACTCAAACCTGGGTCTTCTGATTCCAAGTCCAATGCTCTTTACATCATATATGCTGTCTCACATCTCAATAATATATTTAGAACATTCATAATCCTGTTAAATATGAGATGCTAAATCTGATCATTAAGATAAATAAAAAGTTGGGTAACTGTGTAACTGATAGAATACTAGGAAGTATGAGCCATAGTCTTTCTTGCATGTACTACAAAATATCTTTTCCTTGTTTATTAAAATAGTGAAAATAAAAGGTGCTTCCATCACTAGATACCCCTCCCCCAAAAAAGAACAAATGACTAAAGTTTGAATGGCTTTCATATGTCATGTGATCATGCATGTACTTTTTAAAGGCTGCTTGAGAGTCTAAATACAGTCAACTCTTTTTTAGCTGTGCTGATGAAGGAGAACACTGGCCTGAATATGCTTCCCTTTCTCCTTTCCCCTTCCAAATTCTTCCAGCCTTAAGAGTGATGTTAGTAAGCTTTCAATTAAGATTTCACTGTGTATTACACAGACTAAAATTTTAATCCCAAACTGAGCTTTTTATGTTGCCCCCAAATACGTTTGGTCCAACCTTTTTTTTCGCATGTCTGAGAAGTGAAAATTTATTTTAATTATAACAAAGCAAAACCATAAGAAAAGTACATTTACTTGGTGAAAAACCATAAAGTAGATTACTAGATATTTTTTCCCCAAAATATTTGTTACATTCATGTTCCATTCATGAGCATAGATAATCAAGAGTTGACTTAAATTTTACAGATTTTGCAGCGTTTTTGCTTTTTAGTTAATTTGAAAATGTGCTTATATTTCCAGCTGGATGGGCAAGAGAGATGAAATTTAGGAGTAGAGTGAAAGATGAGTTCAAGTTTAACCACAGATGAAAAATTTTGGCTAGGGATAATTGAGTTGACCATGTTATTTTCTTGTGTTTATTATAGTTGGAAAAGATCTTGAAGAGAATAGTACCTTTATTGAATGGAAATTTCATCTCACTGAATAGTCATTTCTTTACCTTCTTCATCAAGGACAGATAACTTTTTGGAATAACAAGATTGTTCAGAACATATGTCTATTTTTCCTCTAAATAGGCAGTTAGTAGAGACCTCTGGGCAGCTTTCATTACCACGTTAATATAATTTTGCATATGCAGGTTTATCTAAAGGCCTTCTGTTAAGAACCCACATTGTGACTTACCTATCTGATTTACCTGTTAATGTCTTTATTGTATTGAATCTCAAGACTCCTGAGGCTACTCAGTAAATAAGTATTTACTGTTTCAGAACAATGGTATGTTCTGGCATAATTTTGGTCATTTGGTTTCTTGGAAACAGTTTGTTAGGTGAAACAGCATTGTCTGAAACATTTTGTTCCTGTCCCATTGTTTAAATAGGAGTTATGTTTCTGGGTGAAGGAGTGCAGGATTTGGTAAGGTGAGAAAGGTTGGAGAACTGGATAGACACAAGATGATTAGATTAGCTGAGACAGTGGATTTAGGGCAGGGGTTGGTTAGATTGGTCCTTTTGATTGGATAGATGTCAGTTTAATTGGGGTTTTATGACCTTAAGGTGGGCTTTATTATTTCATTGAATATACTATTTCAAAGTAGTGTTAGCAATTGTATGTGTCATATGTCTACATGCATATAAGCATTCAGTTTATTGTTACTAGTGAGGGAGGGAGAGTATGGACTTGATTCTCAAAGAAAAATAAAGTTTAGAAACCTGTCATAATCTGTACTTTGTCCCCTTTTACTGTTTCACCTTTTCTTCACTTAAGATGATTTTTCTTATTCTATCTAGTTGTTTTCCTGTCATATATTTAGTAGTCCAATAAAATAAGAGGAGGGCTTAAAATTTTCTTTACTTTTTGCTAATGACGTTGGAGTTCAGTTATCTTAACCTGACAGTGGGATTAAGATAACTTATTTAGATGTTTAGGAAGACAATATATTTCATTGGGAATGTTCTCATGACAAGTAGAGTTTTCCTTTAAAGCTATGAAAAGATGTCCAGTACTGGTTTATAATAAAACTGTCAGTCTGAAAGCATCTTTGTAATTTGCCACAATACATACAACTATTGTGTTTAACTTAGCTATATATAAAATATATATAAAATTCAACTATAAAGTTGAATTATTGCTCCTCCTTTCATGCTTTCTCTTTTGGGGGAAGGGAAATCCTGACCTCAGTGTCAGATACTAGATAGTCCTGCTGCACAGACTCCCTCATCAATGCAGATGGACAGCTCTGTAATCTATTAGAGACATGACTTGAACCCTTTGGAATCTTCCTGATTCTAGGGCAAGACTGGCCTTTTAGTCACTTATCCATGCTGCTTCTTGCTTGATGTACTAGAGTATCAAAGGGCTCAACCCTATAATATATTTCAACTCTGCAGACTTGTTTTACTTAAGTTTCCTCATTTCCTGATATGTTTCTCAGTATTGATCTTGTGTTGGGGGGAATTTAAATTTTAATAACTAGATTATACATATATGTATGTATACATATATAGAGAGAGAGAGAGAGAGAGACAGACAAGACACTTGTGGTGTCATACAGTGTTAGATGTAGGAAAGACTTTAAAAACTATTGAAACAATCCCTTCATTTTGTAAATAGAACCCCAAAGAGAATGATGGTTCTTGATTCCTTTCCACATTGAACTTTATTTTGTGAACAAAACTTAGAAATTATAATTATAATTTTTACTTAGGAATTCATTTAAACTTGTTTAAATATTTTATTCTTCTGTCAGTTTTCTTATAAAGAAAAATCTTTATGTTGGTGTCAACCATATTTCTTTTGTTTAATGCATTTATGATCCCTTATCACAAAGAAAGAGTTAAATATAAATAGTTTTTATCCTATTTGGAAAGCTTTGAATAATCAATTATATCTTAATAAGAATATCATTTGGTCTATTTGTAGTAAAGCAAAAGGAAACATGTTAAAAACTCCATTTATTGGGAGTCAGATTTTTGTCATTCTCAGCAGTTCAAAACTTGCCAAAATAGCTACTAACCAATCTCGTGTGCTTTATGCCATAGAAGAGAGAGCTCACTAAGAACATTCTGACTTCATAGATTCATAGGATTGTAACTGTTAACTTTATTTTATATACTCCATACAAGCTTGATAAGCTACTTTTCACGCCAACTGAAGATCATAAATAGGGAGAAATGATAGCAAAAAGGCAAACAGGATAAAGGCATAACTGAAGAGCTGATACAAGAACTATTTCTATAAAGGCCTACTACTATACCTACTTACCTCACTTGATCCTGAAGATATTATTTTATTATAAGACCATAAGTAATGTTTCTCGTGATCCTGAATTATCAGGAAAAGATTAAATTATATTTAGAACACTGTGTAAAAATACAGTGTATTTTAGATTTTCATCCAAAATACTTTGTTCAGGTTTTAAAAATACTTTCTTCTAGATACTGTGTGAGTGAGGCAGCACTGTCTACCTGAGGTTCTGTGAGACCAATTAATGAGTTTTATTCCTCAGTTAAATAGTATATAAACCTTTTAGTTCATTTAGTCTCTTGGTTAATTTTAGCTTATTTCATTTTCAATGCTTAGCTAAATGCTTGTTAGAAATTAAGCCGACTTGATATATAGGCATTTAACTTCTTGATTAAATGTATAATGTCACCTTGAATTAGTCAGTGTGATGCATGATTCTGTAGAAGTGCTGTAAATTTTGTTTGCAACTATGTGTTCCATTTATGTAAAACTTTTAAATGTTTATTATTTTCAGATGGTCAGATTTTTGGCATGTTGAGCAGCATATGGCATTAGTAGATAAAATGGGACTTTGTTGATTTAAAAATACCATGTGAAATAAATGAGATTTTGAAAAATATATTGTAGTTATGGTTTCATGGCATTATGGAAAATTAGCACTTCATTTTTGTTTATAAAGAAGAGACTACATGCCTATTCAGCAAAGCAACTAAATACATTTAAGGGTGAATGAACTTGGCATGCTGAATAGTGCAAATGACAAAATGCTTGAGCTAGTTGTGTTTTTATCTATTGGTTTATTGGTGAAGGCTAGTAAAAAAAATCTTACTGTAATAAATCTCTTTAACTGCCCTTCAGATACTTACCATATTTGATGAATGAGAAAAAAGGATTTTTGAAGTAAAGTATTTGTAAACCTAACCTGTCTCCATTTCTTTTTTAAAGTTATTCCTTATTGACTTTGGTTTGGCCAAAAAGTACAGAGACAACAGAACAAGACAACATATACCATACAGAGAAGATAAAAATCTCACTGGCACTGCCCGTTATGCCAGCATCAATGCACACCTTGGCATTGAGCAGAGGTAACTTTTTAAAGTTGACTATACTTCACAGGCTGTACATAGTAGTTATTCTTGAAGTTTTTAGGAATTTAATTACTCTTGTCATGTGAGGATTTGCAGAGGATTTGAAAGATGCTTATAAATCTTGTACCTGCTATCTTACACAGAATAGGAAGGCTAATTAAATGAAGGCTGTTTTTTTTTTTTGTATTGTTGTTGCTTTTTTTTTTTTAAAGCATAAAAATATCTTGGCAAGATTTTATGATAGAAAATCTTCAAGGCACAAATGGGCTTTGATTTCAATTTGATTCTAAGTTTCTCTTTTGCATATGAAGCATTTGCCTCTTATGTGGACTAATGTTTTCATTAAGAAAATTTCCTTACAAATGCAATCAGTCTTTAGGATCCTTGAATATTTGAACCCAAAGGAGCTTTAGGTATAATCATATATAGTCAAGGAAGCCGAGATCCTGGAAAGAGATAGTGTCTTTTTCCAAGGTCACGCAGGTTGACTTAGTGCTCTGATTAGAAACCGTGTTTTTTTAGCAGTAGTCGTTCCACTGTTACTTCAGCTACTCTGTCCTGCCCCTTAGATTTATTTTGCTTTCTGTGCTTTGTGAATAATTTCTAGGCTTTTCATTTATTTAACCTTGTATCTATTTGGTTTGTTTTCTGTGGAATTTTTAAATAGCAATCATTTGTGGCTCTCTTATGTCATATTAGTAATTGAGATATAGCATAGATCAATGCAAAGGATGCTGCATTTAGAGTCTTGAAGACTTGGATTTACATCTTGTCTTTACCACTTTATTATTTGACTTTTGAAGTCCATCCAGTTGTAAATCTGTGATACTATGAACTCTTAAAACATCATTTTTTTCTGGTGTTCTACTGGCATTTGTCTTAATGTGTGATTTTATGTGTCTTACATTTTGAAAGGAAGTATTTTCCTCGTTATTTTAAGGAGAAAAATGTAATCTCAGCCAAAGAGGGGGTGTTTATGGGGAGTAGTAGGAGGCAGTGTACAAACAACACTTAGAGTGTTTGACAATAGAAGCTGAGTAGAGGCAGTGTTTATAGAAAGGAATTGACATTTGAAATATTTATACTTATAGGTCTGTATAACACCTTTATTTGAATAATTCTTCAAAGTTTTTACATGTCATTAATCTTTACAACCTCTTATGCCCTACCAGTTCCCCCTATTTTTCTCAGCTATAAAATTTCTGGTACATTTAATATCAAGTAAAATAGTTATACCATCTAATTAGTATCTAATTAATAGTCCTTTTCTATAATTCTATATAATTTATATAATTCACTACTAAGATATGTTATTTAGAGATACTGATAAGACTGAAAATACTTGGTTGTTAAGTGTGATATAGTGTAGTAGATTAAGCACTGATCTTGGAGTCTTGAAGACCTGAGTTCAAATTACATCTCAAATAGTTAATGAAACTAGGGAAATCACTTCTTTGCCTCAGTTTCCTCATCTGTAAAATGACTCCTTTATGGTCCTTTCCAGCTTAATTTTGATCATTCTGTGATACTAAGTAATTTATTAAAGATTCAAAGGTTAAGTCATTCAGTAGTCTAGTCTAAGTATTATAATTTGGGGTATGATAGAATCTCAGTTGTCAGGGACCATAGAGGCTATCCTAGTTCATACCTGAAGAAGAATCCTTTCTAGAACATACCTCAGAACTCAAGTGAGAAAGAGTTTAATACCTTCTAAGGCAGCCTGTTCTACTTGTAGATAGCTTTAATTATAAGGAAGGTCTGCTTTAGACTAAATAAAATAAAAGTCTGTTACCTTGCTATAGGATAGTCCTGGAAGTACTTGAAGATAGCTGTCATGTAGTCTTTTTTGAACTGAATATCACCAACCCCTTTAACTTCTTCCTCATGTGATCTAATTCTAAGACCCTTTATTGACTTAGTTTTTCTGTGGATGTTCGTTAGAGGCCTGTCAGCATCCTTTTGTAAAATATGCCTAGCAGGAGTAAGAGTAGGATTATCATTTGCCTAGTCCTAGATGTTATTCCTCTTACTGTGACCCTGTAGATTTTATTAACTTAGCTACCCATCATTGTTGATCACTGAGTTTATTGTCCATCAAAACCCCAAAGTTTTTTTACATAAACTATTGTCTAGACACAATTCCTTTATGTGGTACTTTTGAAGTAGTGGTTTGTTTTTTGTTTTTTGTTTTTTTTTGGTAAATCAAGTGCAAGATTTTATATGTCTTATAAATTGCATCTTAATAAATTCTGCCTAGTGTTTTATCTAGCCTGTTATCTTTTTTAGATCTTGATTCTTTTATTCAGTGTATTAGCTATTCTTTTCTCTTTTATCTACAAATTTAATAATTATGTTGTCTGTGCCTTTATTGGTTATTACTCTTTTTTCAGGCTGGACCAGTAACTTCTGTAGAGATAGGGGACTTTCATGAGGAAACTGCAGTTCTGGATCTTGTTCTGCAATTTATGGAGAGCTACTGGGGCATTGAAAGAAAAATGACTTGCCCAGTGGCACACAGCTACTTTCTCAGAAGCTAGACTTGATTCTGGATTTTTCTGCATTTTCCTAGTTCTGAAGTAGATTCTTATCTACTACCCTGTACTGGCTTTCCTTGGGCCTCTGGGACTCTTCCCAAATCATCAGTAAAAATGTTAAGTAGCACAAGGCCAAATACATATCACTGGGTCACGAGTGAGATTGACTTCCAAATTGACATCAAAATGAATTTTTGAGTCTGCCCATTCAACTAATTACATTCCACTGAGTTGTGCTATTATTTAGCCTATGTTTACTATTTTCCCACGTAACAGAATGAGAAACTTTGTCAAATGCTTTGTCGAATCTATTAGGTTATACAATAATATTTTTGTCAATCATTTTTAAAATAGTAACACTTTGTCCTTTATTTGATGTGTGAACTTGAAGCATTTCAGGATGTTTTTGCTTGTAGTGAGGTAGTTTTTGGTTGGTAAAGATCATACTTCAAAATCCAAATACCCTGAAGGTAATTTTCTTAGATTGTGGTTACTTAGGAAAGTTTTAGAAGCATTCTCACTTACATCCTAGGTACTGTTAGCTTTAAAAACTTAGTTCATGCTTTTTATCCTGCTGGGCTATTGAGCACACCTAAGTTTTAATTTTACTGTGTTCCTGCAAAGCTTTCTGAATTGCTGTGATACTTGGTGCTTCAGCTTCCAATAAAGTTGTAACTTGTCTAAATTGTTTTGCTCTTAAAGTCGAGTTGTCAAGCGCTGTGAAATTTTGTTGGTTCGTTGACTAATAATTCGTAGCATTTCCTCCATTTATAATCTAGTCATTTGTTTAAAAAGCAACCTGGTATGAACTTTTCCTTTCATATTTTTGTATTTCTTAGTTTATCATGCCAATTCACAAAGATATTCTTTTTAAAATAGTATGTGTGTATATACACACACACACAATTCCTAAAATTTTTTTCCCTTCTTCTTTAGTCGTCGTGATGATATGGAGTCTCTAGGATATGTGTTGATGTATTTTAATAGGACCAGCCTGCCCTGGCAAGGATTAAAGGTAGGTCATACTCCTGCTAGGCAAGGACTCTTAAGTTGAGTCTGTGAACTTGTTTTTAAATATTGAACATCACAACAACTGCATTTTAATACTATTGACTTCCTATAGTATGTACTTTATTTTATGCATTTTAAAACATTTTGATGAGTGTATACATTTCACCAGACTACCAGTGGGGGTCCATGACACACGAAAAAGGTTATGAATTCCTGTACTATAAGGACTTACTTTTTGTAAACATAGATGAATATGTCTTTAATTGGCTTATTGGGGGAAAAAGTAAAGAATTACAGAGGGTTGGAAAGGTGAGGAGTCCCAGGACTTTGGGACTTACTTGTCCTTTAGTGGCAGTCGCTGTTGGTGGTAGCAAGAATAGAAGGACTTTTCTCCATAACACTCCTTTTTCTGATATCTAAGGGGAATCAGACTCATTGTCCTGGACTCTTTCCACAGGAGTGGAATGTAGTGGCAGAGATTTTAGCTACCTGGCCCATGCCACATTGTGTTCTGTACTTTGCCACCTCAGTAGGCTGGCTCACCTGCTCTGGTGGTGCTCTCGCTTTCTAGAGATGGCCCTCATGCTTTCCCCAACTTGTTTCTCTGAACTATGAGTGAGTGGGGCTGGGCTGGAAGAGAGCTTGAGGTCTGAGATGTGCTGCTGTTTTCAGGGATGTTGGTCCCTTCCTCCACAAACAGGGCTCCCCCAACACCTCCCTTCCAACCTCCCACACTCACTTTTATCAGGCACCTAGCTAGAAGCTTATGACTGTTTCTCATTGGCAGAGTACACCCTCTCACTGTCATTTCATTTGGGTTGGGAGTATGAGCTGAGCTAATCTCCCTAGTACTTCACAATTTACAAACTGCATTTTATGTTTTTATATACATATTATATATTTATATAAAATATTTATACATGTTATATTGTTGTTATTGTTATTACATTTAATTCTCACAGCAGACTTTTGAGGTGGATGTTATTTTATGGATGAAGAAATTCAGGCTCAGAGAGCCCAAATATTTTTGTGTACATTCACACATCTAGTAAACAATAGGTCTGGAACTTCACCTTATGTCTTTTAGACTATAAGAACAGCATTCTCTTTAAAATGTTGATCTGGTATGTTATGAAGAATAAGCATACTTTTTGTGTAAAGAAGAGTTGAAAGCATTTCTTTGAGAGTATTTGCATTTCCTAGTAGGTAAAAATCTTGTTATTTGACTTTTTTAAAATGAATTAACAATACAGCCACATAGATGGTGGATTACTTTTAAGTACAAGTAGTGAGCATTGAGAAAAGCTTTCATCTAGTTTTGATTTTTCTATTATTTTTGTATTGGACAAAAGTATTTTGCTTTGTAAGAAAAAAATTAAACAATGTTAAATTACACTGGATTGGGATAGTTTTGTTGTTTTTGGAGATATATCTATAAAAACTTGTGATTTCACAGGTGTGTGAAAAAAGTGAGGAAGCACCTTCTACTAATGTGTATTGTCACTTCTTTTCTAACTTTACTGGCTTAGAGAGTTCATGGGATATTGAGGAGTTGAGGGATTTGCCAAGAATCAAATAGCCAATATCTGTTGGGAACAGGACTCAATCCCAAGTTTTGCCAGCTCTCTATGCACTATGTCTCCCTTTGTCTCATATTTAATCTGGTAGGGGAGAGAAGGAAGTTACCGCGGTCAGGAAGATTGTTTTCCCGTGGAATGGGGTTCATCTTTTGCACAGGGACTGCTAACACATGAGATTTCCCCATGGGAAACTCAACTGTACGGTTTGCTGTGTCATTAATATATTTATATTAAAAGATCTTTGTGGGTAATTCTTCTGACTGGGCCAGGCAGACATCCCCTTCTCTTCCTCTTCACAACTTGTCGAACTTAATGAATAGCTGTGGCTTACAACTCTGTTAATGACCCCCTCTAGACTTTGCCTGGATAACAGGCACAAGTGCATTCCTGAAAACTTGCAGCTTATATGACCAACCAGAGTAGAGTCCTTTTAATGTACTCTTTTGAGAACTCAGGATTGATATAAGTTTTAAAACAAAATATAGGAAATTAGGCTAAAATATTCTGAACTTTGCATTTACTCCATTTGCTTTTTTAAAAATTCCCTGTAGTTGTGCCCCCTTGAATGATCTGTTAGTGATCATATTGTGTATCTCATGTTCCATAGGCTGCAACGAAGAAACAAAAATATGAAAAGATTAGTGAAAAGAAAATGTCCACTCCTGTTGAAGTTTTATGTAAGGTAAGATGCATTTAATTGATTAGCAATCAAAGAAAAGCAATTTATGATAGGCATTAAAACTTGAATGTCCTGTCGGAGTGGTCAGTTAACTTTATGAATTTGCTTTATGCTAATGCCATAGTATAATTGACTTTTCAGTGAATTGGCCATATGTGAGTGATTTATAAGATAACCTATGATGCCAACATATTTTAGTCTGCTTAGACTAATCCCTAGTATGATAGGGGCAAAGACTTTGGTAGAGAAAAATCCATATTAAAAAGGTAAAGATGGACATTGAGAAAAAGGTATAGGACATAAGCTCTCCTGATAGAATTCTCCAAAGCAGTGTATAATTTAACTTAAGAAAAAGAAAAGATACCCAGTGTATTTATGTTGGCAGGTAGAATCATCAGAAGAAAGAAGTGGTAGACTTAGTAAAGAATAGAAGCATAGGAGTAGACAGAAAAGCTATTGATTTCTGCATACTTTTGAAGGAATTTAAACTCATTTTATTTAACGGGAGTGAGATTAGAAAAGAAAAAACTTCCTTAAATATCTTATCATCACACATTGTGTAAAGTAGGCTTATAGAATTGCTGAATAGTTTGTATATCATATAAAAGTTGATTGAAATACTACTAAGTTTTGTGTAACTACTGTGTACCTTTAATTCAGGGGAATGTAAGATATGTTGTATGCTTTAAAGGAACTCATATTTTGTTAGGGACATAGACCTAATACATGTTGGTGGTGTGCATGTATTTCTGGAGGTGTATTGTGCATATGCAGGGTTCCTAAATGAGCAAGTTGACTTTGAAAATTAAAGGTGTGCTAGAGAAATAAAATTATTTTGCATATCTGCACTTTCCCTTTCCTAAGATGGGGGAAGGGCAGATGATAAGGTTTACACCACATGTTGTATGTTTCTAAATATCTAGAAATTTTCTCTTAATGGAAAATATTAAGGGAAGACTTTGGAAGTAGAGAAACAATTGGACAGAAAGGTAGAGGTAAGAATAGATTAGGACAGAGGACAAGTATCTGCTATATGTCCATTTCCTATCTCACTTGGCTCCTGTAACATTAAAAAGCACTTGAGTGCTTTGTGGTATGGTAGTGTGCTGCTGGGAAGGACAATTATAATTATGCATTCCATTTCTTTTAGATTCTTAAAAGACAACACTTTTCAAAAAATCCAAGATAGAAGTGAAATAATATTTGATAATAAGAAACATTACTTTATAGGTAATTTGCCCTAAAACTATGTGTATAACTACATTTTAGCAGTGTGGTTACTACTCATGGGGATGGGAATTTTGATTCCTTCAGGCCCCCGTGCTCCCACATCAATGCTGTTGAGAAATTAGTATTACGGAGTGAATAAGGAAACATTATACTGGTTACACAATGCAGGCAAACCAAATTTTAGAGTAGTTAATTTTTAATTTTCAGACCCTTTTGAAATAGTAAACATAGTATCCTGCTTAGTTATTGTTAATTACATATATAAATGTTTGTTTTCTGTTAAGCATGCAGTATGTTTCTTTGACTCACTTGTTTTCATTCTTGGTCCTATAGGGGTTTCCAGCAGAATTTGCCATGTATCTAAACTATTGTCGTGGACTACGCTTTGAAGAAGCACCAGATTATATGTATCTGAGGCAACTATTTCGTATTCTTTTCAGGTCAGTTTTGAAATTGTTGAGGATAAAGCATCCTGCCCAAATGACATCATGATATTAATGCAGCCTTTCCTTTTACTTACACTGTGCTGTGGCAAAATGAGCTAAAAGTTATCCAAGCCTTTATTTGTCTACAAAATGAGTATGTTAACATCTGTAGTGGATCTCTTAGAAGGTTATGATGAGGATCAAGTGTAAAGACCTTTGTAAACCTCTAACTATTTAAATGATGATAATGATGATTCCCCAAGGTTTCAGGGGAAACATTTTGAGAAAATATAAATTCCATAAGAAATTGAGAGGCAGCATAGAACAGTAGTGCATAGGATTTGCACACCAGAAATTTGATTTATAATCCTGACTATTTACTAGTTGTTGACTTTGGGCAAATTATCTTTTTACTGATGTAATAATTGCAAATGATAATAACATTTTTTCAGTACTTGGGTATAGTTTTGGGGAGGGGGTTCAGACTTTTTTATTTAAGCGAGCACTGAATTTTGAGTCTACTTGTGTATTAAGATGTTTACCAGCATCGTTTGTTAGGTTAGAGGGAAGACCTACTGCTACCGTGATTATAAAGTGCTTAGCACAGTACCTGGCACATAGTAAGTGCTATATAAATGTTAGCTGTTGTTATTATTGTTACTGTTGATTACTGAGCCCAGAAAAGAGCATTCGAAATTACCAACTATAGGGCCACACTAAAGATTTCCAGATGTTTACTTAGATTTTATTTGCTTTTTCTACTCTTTGTCAAGGCTGTGAGACTTGTTGGTATAAATAAGCTACAAATTTGCAACAGATGGACTGTGCTCGCAAAGACAAACTATTCATGGAGCTAAAGTAACCCGAATGTTGGAACTGCATGCCTTGCCATTTTTCTTCCCTCTCTCAGGGATTTCCCCATAGTCTTTAGGTCTATATTTGAGCCAAGCATTGATTATAACCATGTTCTCACTACTCCTTCCTTTATACATTTTATCATGCCACTTGATTTCCCATCTTGAAATGAAGATAGGTGTGTGTGCAGGCACGCGTGAGTGCGTGCATGTCCACTCCCATGCAAGCACCTAACTAACTTGACAAAGCAGGACCATAGGCATGTGAGTGATCATCTATGAGATCTATTTCATGACAGAATTTAGGCTTAGGTGGTAAGGCTTGGCTTTATCGCAGCATGAGTTTGGGTTTTGAGGTTTGACCTATGGTTTTTTTATTTTTGTTTTTTAATGTTTGAAGGTTATATAAATATACCATGGACAGATATTTGGAGTGGTTTTCTGTACACACCAAACTTTTTTTTATTGCTCTATTTTAATGTCTTAAGGTATAGGAATAAGGTGCCAGTGATGGCCAGATTGTCTTTCAATCAAAGAGAAATGTTCTCGTGGCTGACATTGCTTGTTTCTCTGATAAACCTCTAAATCCATGCTGATGTATCCCTAGGCAATACAGATCTTTTCCTCATAGGCTTCTTGTTCTATAAATATAATTTATAATCCCAGTTTGTGGGATACAGCTGTGGTGTAATCACTGCATTTAGAATTACTAGCTGAGTTTAAGAAGTCCTACTCTGCAATTCACTAGCTTTGTGACAAATTAAAATTGCTTAAAAGCCTCCTTTTACTCATCAGTAAATTAGGTTTAAATACCTGCAGTAACTACCTCATTCACAGGTTTCTTCTAATTACAAAGGATATATTAAGCACTTGAAAAATTATAAAGTGCTATACAAATGCCAGCTATTATTGCTCCTTTGCTTTTTTTAAAGCCAGATCTTTTTAATTTATCAGCCTTGTAGTTGAAAGTGCTCATTTTGAGATGTTATTTTTTAACTGCTACTGTAGTCACTGTTTCCTCCCACCCCTCAATATTTCAGCATTAAATGACATTTCATTTGGAGTTACTGGGATATTATATATTGTTATCAGCTTTGATCCTGCACTGGTGTGTGTATGTGTATACTTATAAGTATATACATATACACATTTATCTGCATTTATATACACATTCACAAATAACGGTTTGGGGGTTTTGGTATTTGAGGGGGTTTTTTTTGGAGGAAAGAAATAAGGAAAGTTCATATCTGAACTTTTGCAAGACTTTCACAATAAAACACTTGTAAGAGTACTTTGCCACCACCTATCCTATAGAGAGGATGAGAGGATGAGATTACCAGACTAGTTTTGAACTAATTTATAGGTTGTCAAGATGAATTTTATTTTTATTTCATTCAAAAATTATTTCATTTTATTTTTATTTTCAGTTTCTACTTTTCTCCCTCCATTCATCACTCCCCCACCCACTGAGGAGGCAAGAAATATGATTCTTATTTTACCTAAGAAGTCATGCTAGTCATATTTTTGAATTAGCCATGTTGGGAAGAGGGAAGGCAAGGGGAAAAAAGGAAAAAAATATGCTTCAGTATGCTTTCTGAGACCATCAGTTCTCTATATGGAGGTGTATAACATAAATTTTATCAGCCCTTAAGAACACATAGATTGTTATATGAATTGTCTGTCCTTGGTATTTGAGTGTAACAGTTACCAAGTATTGGTATAAAGGAAATTATTTTTCCCCCCTAGGACTCTGAACCACCAGTATGACTACACTTTTGATTGGACAATGTTAAAGCAGAAAGCAGCCCAGCAGGCAGCCTCTTCCAGTGGGCAGGGTCAGCAGGCCCAAACCCCCACAGGCAAGCAAACTGACAAAACCAAGAGTAACATGAAAGGTTAGTAGCCAAGAACCAAGTGACGTTACAGGGAAAAAATTTGAACACACAATTTGGGTCAGTCAGTAATTTATAACAGTGTTAGATCAAGGAGGTGGTTTAAAATACACACACACATTTGGCTCTTGATTTTAAAAAATCAGACGTCCTTGGAAAATTTGACTACTAACTTTAAACCCAAAATGTCCTTGTTCATATATATATATATATATATGTATATATATGTGTGTATATGTGTTCATATATATATATGTATATATATTTTCATATATATGTGTGTATATTTATATCATTTCTCTTGGGATGTTGGGTCATTTTTAACAACTGCCATCTTTTTTAGTCATGCATTAACCCCTCTTCCAAGCAAGAACCATGACTTGGTGTTGGGAATGTGATTAATAAATTATTCAATCCAAAATCCTAGACCTAACACTTGTTGATTTTTTCCCCCCCTTTTAGGAATGGATTTGATTAGCCATGGTATTTTCAAACTAACAGTGTTAAGATTTTTTTCTCTGCATGATAATTTGGCAGTAAATGTGAAAAATTGTGGGTATGATTTTCTTTCACTAGGTGAAAAGGTGGCATTACTATGAATGCTTATACTCAGGAGTATACCTCTTAGTTGCAAAGAATTTTGCTGAATTAGATATTTAAATAATGGAGGAATTGAATGTATCTTTACTTATACATATCTATATCAGTTATTTTATTTTCTTAATTACATATGTTTGAGGGATTTCAGCTTAAGAATTTCAAAGAAAATTTTCAAGTACTTGGGTTATTTAGAGGTTCATCATGCATTTTCTTTATATTAAGAGCTTGCAACTTGAAGGTGCCTATTTTCATGGGGCAGGGGCTACTGCATTACTGGTATCTTCTTCTCTTTACCTAACTCCTTTATTTTCAGGGAGTGGAGGGTTTATGGCAATTTGCAGTCATTATGTCAACTGCCTTGAGACCCCACTTCCTTTATGCATTCTTTTTTCTTGGGGGCTTACTGGAAATTTTGCTTGACAGTCCTGGAAATGGTGATGGGATTTGATTTTTTTTTTTTTTTTCGGTGATGTCTTCATTGTTGTATGAATGATCTAGTTTGAATATAGTCTTCAGTTTGCCCTTGGTCTGTAGTCTGATTAAAACTTTTTATAATAACCAACTTTCAAATCAAAGAATAAGAGATTTTAATTCTAAGTTAGTTTCAGAAGTCATAATTTACTGATGTCATCCTCATCTTAGCAGCTAATCTTCGATGTACATAATAAACTCATAATGAAGTTATCAAAGAAAAAAAGTGAGGGAGAATAAACCAGGGTTCAAGCCACAATTAAAAACAAAGGAGAGCAAAATGTAAGCAGCATACAAAGGAGAATTTGTTTTGACCCTGAGCTAGATTTGAGAGGGTCTTTCTGTGGCATAAAAAATGACTGCTGAATTTGGGTTTTGTAGGTAATAGAAAATTCAATTGGAAATCCAGAGTTAAACCAACACGTTACTTAATGGGACCAAAAATAGGTTTCTGAGAAAAAGAAAGGAGGTGCCAAGTATGGATTGAAGCTGTGGAAGCTGGATGAATCAACTCTGGGTAGAGTTTTGCATATGACCAGAATTGTTTCTCAGGAAAGTTAATATTTAACCCAATGACCATCACTTTGTTTCTTAATATTAATAATTACCCTTTAAAATTCAGAGTAGGATTTATTTTTAATTTGTAGTTGGACAGTGACCAGAGGAGAGGCATCAGGATTAATTGAAGGAACTAAGGACATTTTAGCCAAGAAAAGATAGAACAGAGGGAGCATTCGCCTTCAAATACCTGAAGGACTGTCATGTGACAGAAATACGAGACTTCATTCTGGATAGCTCCAGTAATTCTGCTTAAAAATTAGAATGCCTTGTCTTCTGAACTTTTGAGTTTTCTATCACTCGAACTGCATGAACAGACTGTCAATGGATGTTGTATAGGGCTGTGATTCTTGGATTTACTGGAGGTTGTACTAGATGACCTCTGAGGTTCCTTTCTTATTTGGAATTATTGAAGTTGATGCATTTCTCTTCTGTACTTGTGTCTACGAATAGAGTTAGCAATGCAGGTTTGAAGAAATAATTAATGACTTGATTTAAATGGAAAGAGTGGCAAGTATTGCCTGATTGACCAGTGCCCTGGTAATAGATTTCATTTAGGGCTTGTTGTTCCTCTTATGCATGCCAGTTATTAGATTAATATTAATTGTACCAGTGCTATTGAAGGAAATAACTGATGTCCATAAGTCATGACTCATTATTAGGGTGGGCAGCTCTGGTGTAATTTTCCTTACAAATGAAATAATTTGTTACTGAAATAAATTGAAAAAGTTTTTCAAAAGCTAGCTAAGATCCATTTTGGAAACTGGACACACTCCAAATTAGATTGCAGTATCAGTTAACCTAGAGCATTTTAATTCAGGCATTAGGTAACTTTCAGAAAGAATTAGTAAAGCATTAGTTTTGAAAGCTAGAGATTTTATTATTGTAGAGATCACCTGGTACAATACTACTTAAAGGTTGAGTCTCCTGAAATACTCCTGGTTAAGTAAGCAGTGTTACACCACTGCTCTTCTAGTGACAGGGAACTTTAATGCCAAGTCCACTCCACTTTTGGACAGCTCTTAACTGTTAGGGAATTGGTCCAGTTTTACCTTTTCAGGTTATAAGTCTCATGTCTTTTCTATGTTAAATACAGTATGAGTTTCTTAACCATTAATAAGCAGAAGTAAGACCTTTTATTTCCAAATCTCACAGAAAAGATTCTGGGCATATTGAATTCATGTTTTCTTGTAAAAATATTATTAAAATTATTTTGAAAATTTCTATGTAATAGGGATTTTTCTTATAAACACTTTCATTTTTCCAAAACAATTATAATATTAATGTGCTAGTTTTCTGACAAATAATGTATTCCTTCATCTTAACAAAAAAGGTATCCATAAAGATTTGTTTATAAAGTAAGAGATTTTGTATCTTTTTAAACTGAAAGAGCTCACATTTCATTGACTGTCATTTCAAAGAGAACTCAGTCCAGGGGGAACATATTTGGCCCTTATGTAAAATATTGCTTGTGATCAAATGCCCCCACATCCTACGTGACCAACAGCTGTTACTTGAGATCCCTTGCATGTCAGGTGCTGACATGTTGTAGTTTCTGTGGTTTGACAACTAGGGAAATCTTTTCATTGGCATTACAAGACCTTTTGCCTTTATTGTTAGTCAGAGAATTTGGAGTACCAGGAAATGACAGATACTATTAGATACAATATTTTCCCAGAATTTTTAAGACTTTGTAATTTGGGGGAATTAGTTCCTTATCTCTGTTTGGCAGTTCATAATATTTTTAGTTGGTTTCAAAATTCTTTGTTTCACATTCTCTAAATGAAGTTGAATTGTTTTAAATCAAAACTAATGCAATATTGCTAAAGAAAATGCAAAGCCCTAGACTGTTTTTGCAGTACTGGCTTTTATGAAGTGAATATTATTTGTTTCCTAGCTACTGAACTTTGCTGGACTTTTCAGAAAGTTAAGTTGTGCTTTTACAAAACCTATCAGTCTTCAAAATTGATCTCTAAAGGTTAAGTAACCAATATTTCTTTTCTTTTGTTTGGATCCTATAAAACTCAAGCACCAAACAAATCTTTGCTTCTTCCCTAAGACAGTAGTGCTGGGTTGTCATAGTCTTAATACTGGGTCTAAATAGTGAAATGAAACTGCCTATGAGCCCTACCTCAATAAAGACACTGAAGAAATAGAAACACATTTTTTAGTCAGTTACATACGAGTATATTTTTCTCTTTTTGCACATCTACTTAATTAGCAGTGAATTATTTTTTGAGAACTTGAGTTTAATAAAGGAAGGGAAAAATTTGGGACATCAGTTACAGTTAACCTGAGTAAATAAGGGTGTAACTCTGAGAAGTAATGAAGTTTACCAAGGGTGGTACCAGATAAAACTTCACTCAATTCTAAGGCCCCGAACAATTCATTTCCACCTTAGAAACTGGAAGAGGGAAATTTGGGGAGTAAATACATTAGAAACAAATAGAGGTTTTGTCTTTATGTTTGCATATGCTGTTTTGATTTTGCCAATCAAAAAGCATTTCTGTCTACAAGGGTTTTTGATTTATAAGAGCTGTATGAGGATTTAACATTAATTTTGATGGACATTAACTTTTAATGAGTGCCTAAATAAATATATAAGGTAGTGTTATCAAGAGCACTTAATACTAATTTTTGGAAAGAAAACCTGAGTAGAACCTATAAAGTTAGCAAATTAGATACCTGTGGCATTAAGAAAGACATGCAGACAGGGTGTTCCAGAAGTCTACCAAAACTTAAAAGTTTTTGGGATACCCTGTATTTTTATGCATGTCACAGGTAGGACTCCCTGTTCAACATTTTTATCAACAACTTGGATGAAGACATTGATGAAACACACTCTTTATGTTTGTAGTTTAAAATCTAGAAGGAACAGGTAATATGCTGGATGACAGAGTCTGGATTCAAAAATATCTCAACAGGCTTGAATGATGGGTGGAAACTAGCAACATGAAATTTAATAGGTGTAAATGTAAGCTTGAAATTTAGGTTAAAAATCCATCATATAGATACAGGATAGAGAAACTTCGCTTAAAAGCCATTAATATGAAATTGAATTTAGAGTTTGTGTTTTCTGTAGGTTTAGTGCAGTGTAACTACCAAAAATGAGAATACACTTTTCAACTGAATTAATAGAAGTTTGTGTTCAGAATTTAGCGAGGTGACAGTTTTTTACTGTGTTCTCTTTTGATCAGCCTGATGCTGCAGTATTTTTTTTTTTTCCAAGAGGGACTTAGACAAGATATGCCCACAGGAGGGTAGCCAGGATGCCTATAGGTCTTTTGGCTGTATCATTTGATATATCATTTGGCTATATCATTTTGAAGGAATTTGGAGATGTTTGGGCTGAAAGTGTGAGTAAGAGAATAGAAAGAATGAATGTAACTTGAAGTGTGTGAAGAATTGTCATATGAAGGAGAAAGTAGACTGTTTTTGTTCCAGAGAACAGAAATTAATCTATAGATAGAAGTTAAAGGGAAACAGATTTCAGGCATAAATTATAAGGGAGAACTTAAAAGATAAATTAGAGCTGTTAAAAATGGAATGTGCTTCAGGAAGCGAAGTGTTGTCACAGGTTGTGATGATAAAGGAAATCCCTTGTGGTGGTTGAAATGTTCAAGTAGATGGCTTGTTACGGTACATTTCAGCTGGATTCTAGAAAGAAGCATGAAGGATGTTCATTTGATAAGTCTGCATTTGTATCATAAAAATAATACCACCAGCATCTTTTGATAGAAAAGGCAAAATATGTTTTAAGTAATGTTGCAAGTGTGGAAAAAATTATACATGGGGCGGTGGGTAAGCTAGGTGGCGCAGTAGATAGAGCACGAACCCTGGAGTCAGGAGGGCTTGAGTTCAAATCCAGCCTCAGACAGATGATACTTAATAGCTCTGTTGACCCTAGGCAAATCACTTAACACTGATTGCCTCACCAAAAAAAAAGCAGTATATGTAGGAAGTATGTTTGTTATCTCCCAGACTTTCCAGTCTAACGTTTAAATATGTTTAGCATTTGTGCTAAATACTGTTATAGTCTAGATAGCAAAGCCAGTATGTAATATAGTTTGTTGACTTGAGATGATTTTTCTCTGCTTTGGTAGAATGTTGGCATTCAAAACAAATGGAGTGATACTATTTCATCATGCCTACCTTACCAGTTTCTTTTCTTACCCTCCAATGTTTATCGGACTTCAGCTTCAGTTTTTGTCTAGCGTGACTTTTTCTGACTTCACCAGTTACTGCTAGGAACATGTCTGGTTACTCAGCAGAATAGTGCAAATCACAGGCGAAGATCATGAACCGTGTCTGGAAATGCTAATCTACTCAGGAAAAAAATGTGTTGAATCTATTGAGATGCCAGAAGAACTGTGACTGTCTACTGGAATCTAGAAAAACTGAACAACAACGTTGGATTGTAAAGATCTAAAAATAAACTAACAAGAAAGAAGATAAATGTCAGAGAATCTATTGTGATTTGAACTCCATCTTTTCCAAAAACTCACTGAATCTTTCATACTCTTGGCATTGATATATTTCTGAGTAGCTCTATAACAAGTGAGAAGGCCTTGTGAATAGCTAACTGGAGTACGATGTTGCTGTAACGCAGCGATGATGTGGAATAGCTTCCAATTGGGAGAGGAATCAGTCCAACGATCTATAAGCAGAGTGTCTTCCAATTGGGAAGAGGAGTCAGTATAACAGGTATTACTTTCAAATAAAACAACTTCACAAATCTCTCTGAAATGGTGACCTTTGTTATAGTAAAGCTTTGAAAGCATTTAAGTTCTTTGAGCTTTATTGTGGTCATCTTTGAGCTAAGTGAAATAAATGTTGTGCCTGCTGTGTTTAATCTTTACTTGTCCTTTCTGTAAAGATAAGAATAAGGTTGTTTCCTTTATCTCTTCCCACCTACTGGCTATTTTTTAAAGTTTCTGTGGGAAGGCAGCATTTCTGTTATTAATTCCATTTTGTATGCTGCTATCTTATAGTTCAGGTTCTAGAATATTCATAGTTTGATTTAATTAAATTTTGAGCTATTAAAAACTGTCCAAAATAAAGTATAATAATGAAGAGTGGAAAACTCCCCATTTGTGTTTTTAAGGTGTTGCTAGTTTTTCTTTCATCATTGGGATCCTAAACTCTTAAGGCTTATGTAAGACCTTCTTGATGCCTATACTAGATAAATAAGGATCAGTTGACATTAATTTTTGGTCATTGTTCTAATTTGATCTAAGTGGGAAATGTGGAAATTTATAATATAGGAACATCAGCAAATATTGTACATACATGGGATAATATATATATTTAAATTTATGGGTTCTACTGACTTATGTAAAACTTGACAATTTTTTTTTTCTTTTTAATATTTACAGGTTTGGGAGAAACTTCAAAGTAGAGAAATAGCCAGATGCATACCACTGACCTCGACTATCACCTTAACTTCAAGCTCTGGTTTTACTATTTCCAAGAGGAAAAGGATTTAGCCTTTAGTTTAGCTGAAGTTTCCGTGAAGATGGCATCTTTAAGCGACCTTTATCTTTTGGAAGCCAGGAGGTTCTTGGCTTCATCTGGACTGAAAGATAAAAGCCAAGGAATAAAGGATTATGCTAACTGGAAAAAGAATTCAAGAGAGTATTTAATGCTTGAAGATGAAATGCAAGGCCCAAATGTTATATATATGGTGGATATACATACTGGTTCTCCTTTCTTCCCCTATCCCTTCCCCCCAAAAAATGTTTATTGAGCTCCACTGAAATCCTAGGATAATTTACTAGAGGAATGATCATCCTTGGGTAGAGTATCCTTCTGACCCTTTTGAAGAGTTGAATCTGCAATTAACTACCACCGCTTCCAACAACACTGATCTAGTTGCCCCTCCTTAAACATTTATCTCTAAAGAAAGTGGTCTGGTTGGCACAGAATAATTTTCAAAATAGGTTAGATTGAATGAAACAGAAGTCTTTGTATAATTTTAGCTTGTATGCTTTCAGAAAAGGGAAGTAAAACTGACCTTCCTCTTCCTCGTTCCTCCCCTTCTCAAAAAAATAGACCAATAGTTTAACCTTTAATTACATTGCAAATTTGATTTCTTTGTCAGCAAAAGAAGTTAAAGCCTAATTTCTAGTTTAATGTTAGATCCTGGTTATATGATAACTATAAGGATTTCTTCACATTTTCATGAGTCTCCTTTTAAATAAAGGATTTATTTTTAGGTTATAACAGCAAATTTTCAAGAATGACTGTAGGTTTTATGGTTAAAAAAACAAAAACAAAAAAAAAACCTGTCATTTCCATTTAATCAGCTTTCAGTTTGGGTGTTGGCCATGAAAGAATTGGGTTCACCTTGAATTGAAGAGTTACGTGTAATTCTTGGAAATTAGGTTATTGAGCATGGCCATTTTTAATGTATAATTTATTTGGAAATTGATCTATAGGCTTTATTTCTTTAAAATACATGTCTAGATTATCCCAAGTAAATTTTTCATTTAAACAACAAACCTTTTAATGTACCAGTCAATACATACTCATCAGATAGTATAATAGATACTACTTCTTCCTGCAGTAATCTTTCTTATGAGAAACATATTAACTTTTGAAAAGATAGTTCAAGATAAGTAGCAGTTTGCTATATAGCTATTCAATAGATATCATGTAGAAGTATATGATTTGTCTACCGTGTAAGTAATAAGAGATTACTAGACTGTAGAGGATGAAGGATCAGATCTGATTGTGTTGTAGAGTCTGAAGAAGGCTTCATGGAAGAGGTAGAGTTTGTGCACAACAGTTATAAATAAGCAGAGGGTTTACTTCAAATGTGAAGAAAGGGTTAAGGGCAGGAGTGTTTTTCATGCTAGGTGGAAGTAATAGCTTATTCTGTGGAGTTGTACACATTGAACAACAGGAGGCATTTCTGAGTTTCATTCCTCTATCTTTCCTACCAGTTCTAGTTTTATTGTTTCCTGGAGGAAATTTAAATTGCTGTCCATATTCATTCTCGTTCGAAGGGTTTGAATGCTGGTGTCAGAAAGAGTAACTTTTTTCGGTGTTTACTTTTAAGGGGCAAGTGAGGTATTTTCACCAAAATAGTTGAATAATGCCTCTAAAGTGGAATCTTAATTTGACATCTATAAAAAAAGGAATCTTAACAGTGAAAGTATATAACATTTTAATTGAGGTAAGACAGGTATCAGTTGCTGATGAAAAAGTAACTGCAGCTTACAGTGACAGTAAGCTCATTTATATGGCTTGGCTACTAGAGCTAGAAAGAGTTTTGTTAAATATTGAATGAAAATACAGAGACATAATAGACATAAATCTGGTACTTTAGTCATTGTAAGAGTGGGGAAATTCTATGGATAACTAGCTAAATTTAAGCAACATCAGTTTTTGAAACTAAAGGATTGAGGATTTAGTAGATTTTAGTAGAAAAACAGTGACATTTTGGAAGACGTATGTTATCCAGCAGTCTTCAAGGATGCAACCCAAATTTTCTTGATCAGCTCTCCTGGGCCAAATTGAGTGGAATAAAAACAGAAATTACAAATAATGAGGTTTTTTTGCTTATTGCTTATTAAAGCTTATTTATTCCAGTTTGATGAACATTAGCTAATTTACAGCTGTTAAAGCAATCCACAACTTAGGCTAACTCTAATCAAATATCCCTTTGAATTGGCCACTACCAGATGGTTGTGTTTTGACATATGAGTAACTTTAAAGTAGATTTGCCTGGCTGTAAAGCCACAACATTCAATATTCAAATGAGAAAACAGCCCTTCAATTAGGAAAGGACATTCCTGACTTTCAGAATATAGATCCAAAGGCTAACGGGAGAGACTCCATTTCTCTGAGAATTCTTAGCTTGGCTCAGTTCTCCTGGATATAGTTTCTCTTTTTCAGTTTGAATTAACTCTTCTTTCTCTTTTCTCTGTCTCTTTTGGGCAGGTTTCTAAACATGAAGAGGAACAGATGAAGCACAGCAGATGATCAGAGCAGGACTTGTTACTCCCCAAATCTAGAAATTTTAGTTCATATGTACACGTACCAGTGGTTGTGGGCAACCATTTACTTGGTGTAAAGAACTTAATTTCAGTATAAACTGGCTCTGGTCAGCGTTGGTGATGCTGCATCCTGAGTTATAGCCGCTGTAATTGTGAATATTAACTGAGATAGTGAAACATGGTGTCCAGTTTTCTATTGCATTTTTTCAAGTGGAAAAGTTAACTAAATGGTTGACACACAAGTGGTGGAGAAATTGTGCATATGCCAATTTTTTGATACCTTTTATTTTGAACTACACTGCTTTGAGATCTCTTTTCAGAAGAAACGGCATGAACAGTTTTCAACTGCAGTTGTGATAATTGTAAATGTTCACAATTGTGCACTCTTAGGATTTTTTCCCCTTCCTAGGGTTTGAAAGTTGTAAACTTACACATTCTTAAAATTGTTGGCTTCTGTGTGCAAGTCAGCTGACATGGTAGCAACCAAAGATTCCAGTTTTTAAGCATATGAAAGACTGCCTGCTTACTGTGCTAGAATTAACAGCATCTAAAAGTGAAGATTTGAGAAAAACTTAGTGACTACTAGATTTATCCTTAGGACTCTGCATTAACTCTGTAATGTTCTTGGTATAAAAAAGAAAAACAACATATTCGTCACAGAAATTTAGTTAACATCTTACAACTAAATCTGTATGTAAGTTGCTTAGATCAATGTAATCACTGTAAACATCTATATGACCTGAGATTTTGTTTTTATTTTGAAATGGGAGCTTTTTTGTTTACAAGTTCATTAAAAACTAAAAAATGTTTCTGTAAAAAAAAAGTTTTTTTTTTTTTTTAAAAGAAATGCCTTGCTAATTCATTGATAGAATCAATATCTCCCCAGTTTTTTTAATAGACTACTTGATGGCCATTGTTAAATAAGTCATATTCCTTTGCAAACCATTTTAGATTTAGTGTTGTACCTCTTTTTTTTTAAAAATAAATTTTGTATTTTTTTTCCCTCAAGGGAGAAGGCATTCTTGATTTTTTTTTTTAAGTTCTTGCATCAATGCCTAGTAGTGCAACTGCAGGACTGGTGTTGGTAGCTCCAGTGTTGCCATTGACTAAACAGCTGGACTGATTTGTGTTGTTCCCTTTGAAAATAAGAGTGGAAGAGTTAAATGGTTTTGCAAACGAAGGGGATTTTCTTTCAAATTCTTATGAAGTGGCTATGACCAGATTGTTTCTTGTTCTTAGATTGCCTCACACTGTGGTGTTCTCATGATTACTGTCCCAAGTCCTCCAAGGCAGCCGGTGTGAGAGCTTTTTCCAGCTTATTTGCTTGTTTTCTTTTTCTCTTTATCTCTGACCCAGCGGGGGGAAAATACTATGATTGCTGGTTATCCTTTAAACAGTGTAATTTATTCATTTATAGCATGTCAGAATAAATTAAAAAAAAAAAAAACATTGTCTGAAAATGCTACCAGATGCCTATGTGTAAATGTGGTGTTTTGTACATTAACTTTGTTAAGACTGTAAATTTACACACGTTAAGGTTTAGTTTTGTGCCCTTTAATTCCAGCTTAGTTTTGTTTGTTTGTTTTTTAATTTGAAAACTGCCTTAGCAATAATTTCATGATTGCCATATTCAGCCATTAAGGTATATATATATATATATATATATATCAGAACTTCAATACTGCAAGCATCTTAATAAATAAGCTCTTGGAGGTAGTCAGCTTATTGTAATGAATCCTTTTTTTTTTTCTCCTAGCCTTTCTAGCTTGTTATAGTGTTAGTTGCTTTATTAATAAACCCTTTCTTTGGTACTTTAGCTAGAAATCACTCTCGTAAAGCTATTTTTAAGTATGATTTGTGTAAAAAGAAAAAGAAAAAAGTTTAGCTTGGTTAAAGGTTTTACCAAGTTGAGCTTCCTCTGGCAAATATTTTCCAGTGCTTTCATTTACTATGCACTTAGACTATGCACTTTTTCTGAAATATTTTTGTAACACTTAAACCTTTTTGTATTTTTGCCATTTGAAAAGGTTGTGGTGTAGTCCGTTTGTAATTAAGTTACAGATTTAAGACTGTTTAGCTTTGTAAATCAAAATGTAGGTATTTGTCCTGAGTGTATTGTCATTCCATCTGCAGCTGGAGCTGGAATCCCATTCATCTTCTAGCTAGCATTCCTTTTCTTCACAGTTTGACAAAAGAAGAATTTGAAATTCAGTGAATGCACTAACAAATCCTGACTGGAGAGGAATCTCGTTTGAACAAAATATAAATTACGCTTTTCCACTAAAATGATGGTACAAGTTGAAGACAAGACACTGAAATTGGACAACCTGACCACTTATGACTCCACAGTGGTTCACTCAGCTGAACTCTAGGTTATTCCTTCTTTGTTCACCCATTGGAGGTGCTGTTTAAAAAAATGTTGGGAGATGGCCATTCTAACTATTGTTTGAATGTCTCTGTTTGGGAAAAAATAACAAGGAAATAAAAGTGGAGGGAGAGTCTGGTTATCTCTTCCCCATATTATTGTGGATATGATCTTATGGCCTACAAATGCCTTTTTAAAGGGGTTGTTTTTAACTGTGAATTTACCACCAGTAAGTTTTTAAAAGTTGAGGTTCTGTTATTATTGTCCCTGCCATACTGACATTAGTTATACTGTCCCATTGTAACAAAGCTCTAGTCAATAGTCTATTCCCCCAGAATTCTTAAATGCAAATTTCTTGTAATAAAAGGGGTTTGTTTAAATTGTTGCTCATATTAACAGAGTGAACCTCAAGGAGGCAAGGAAACTGGAACCTGCTTCATGATCTTAACGTTTGAAAGAAGCTTACACAACTAAGTTCACTAGGGCATTTGATAACTGGTTCGCAAGTTGCGGTGCCCTGAGTTTCTTAAATAACTGGTTCTGATTTGAATTACCCAGTTTGCTTGTACATTTTCCAAACTAAACATTTATATGTATAATTAAATGAAAGGTAATTTTAATTTAGGTTACCATATGGCAAATTAATATACTCTTTTCTGTTAACTGGAACACAAAGATTTTTAGCATCTTTTTTTGTGCTGCAAGTGGCAGGAGTTTATTCAGTCATAAATCTGTGGATTAGTCATGTGCCTTGAGATTGAGCTTTTTAGAGTTATATTGAACTTTATAAAGTTGTCTAAGTTTCATGATTGCCAGTGAAATGAAATTGTTACTGTGCCTGTACAGGTAGTCATACCCTTCCTCACGCCACCTCATCATATTGCTTTTCATTGAAGTGTAGCTCCAATATACTGATTTTCTGATCATCACTCACATGTTTAAAAATAATCTAAAATAATATTTGTGTTCCCCATAAGCTCCCATAGCATTCTTGCCACCATATTTTTTGTGTGCCTAAACATAATTCCTATGAAATAGCCCCATGCTTTCTGGGGTTTTTTTTTGGTTTTGTTTTGTTTTTGTGGTGGGGAGAGAAGTGTTCTGGAACCAGTTAGGCAGGTTATGTCTTTTATGGAGCTAGCAAAGATACACAGTTTAGTATGGTTGTGTTTTAACTTGCTAATGCTTAATTAATGTTATTAATGTTATTTTTTGCCAGAAGTTTCAATACTTTATTGTTGTGCAGCATTTTCTATTTTAGACTAAGTGTGGGAGGCAGGAATACCTCGGAGCAAAAGTCTGACACGTCTATTTATTTATGTATTTTAAATGACTGTAATGACCAGTTTATCAACTGCCAGTTTAAAATAGAAAACTTTTCCTTAAATCTTTGAAACAAAGTAATATTTGAATTTCCCTTTAAGAATTCACAGTAAGCCAAGTCAGTTCCCCTAGTTTATTTTGCATTTGCTCTGTTGCCATCCCTTGTATGTCTGCTTGGATCATATAAATCTATAAATCTAAAAATTAGTATCTGGGATAAAGTAGGCAGTAGAACTTGATAAAGAGCTAGTTACAAGCACTTCTAAAGTGTAGGGGTATCTAATTTGATTTTAAAGAGTAGGACATGAGTGCTTTCTTTGATTGTGTGGAATTAAGACTATACTATTTTACAAAGGAGGTATGAATGCACAGGTAAAAAGACCATAAGATTTCATTGGTATGAGAAACTTCCAATGTGGAGCTACTTCCCTTTGATTATGACAGTCACCTCTTAAGTAATGCGGTCAAGTGAAGTGATTGTACCAGGTTTGCTCAGGGTATGTCAGAGGTGGGACTTGAACCTACTTAGATGACTTAGAGGCCAGCTCTTCACTATACCAAGCTGCCTCATGTGAAAATATATTCTTTAAAATTTAAGGAGGAATTAAAGGAAAAGAAATATAAAGTTATTTTATGATTTCATTTTTACTATGTCCTTTTTTAAAGTCTAAAAATTTAATAAATTGCTACTCACTGTACTATTGCTCCGTTTAGTTTATAATTTGCAGTGAAATTTTAGGTGCTTCCATGTACTCTTATAACAGAAGCTTGGATTCATTATTGGAGGAGGGCAATTAAAGTGTATATTTTTTTCTTCAAACCTGCCACCTTCAGATCTAAGTATAAAAGCCTTGCTTTGAAGTGTACTGTTAATAGCTTCAACTAGTGCAAAGTTTTGTACCTGATACGATGTCAGAACTAGATTATGTATATATAGGTGGGGCTTGCCTAAGAGCATAGAAAAAAACCAAAGTTTTAAAATGTGCTTTTTATGCAGTTCAGAAAAAAAAAAATGTACAGCTTTAATATTTGGAAAACATGCTAGTGTAGACTTTAATTTTCAGCAAGTTAGGGTTCTACTTGCCATTTTCTAGGTGAGCCAGTCATTTGCAATTGGGCTAAAGTCTTGGCTTGAATCTTAGGGTGCATATACCTGATAATTTAAAATAGTTCTGAGCCAAATAAGAACTTGCTGAGTAGTCAGTAAATATATTTTTTAAAAAGTGTACAGTAGTTTTCTATCAGGGAAAGCAAAATTTAATAATATGGCAATCCATGTTTATTTTTAAGCATAAACAATAAAGTCGAGTAGATTTTGGTTTTAAATAAACACTGATGAATTTGCTATTTAAGGCTCTTAGGTTAGATATAATTATAGTTTATAACAGGGAGGGCCATAATACTTTGTATTTCATGTAAATATGTCAACAGAGTAATCCTGTAGAAGAAATACTTTATCTAGGCTCTGCCGAGGTACTTTTTTAATGCTACAAGTACCTAGTTTTATGTCTTAGTTCCGATAATGTTCATTAAAGTTGGAGTTGTCAATCAGCTATCTCCAGTTTTTCGCTTTTGCTCCTTACCACCTCAGAGATAACAGCTACCAAGATTTAGCTTACATTTTTGGGCTGCTTGGCCTCAGGATCCCTATGAGGGAGGCAATGCAGGAATATTACAAGGGGGGAAAAAAGCTCAAAGATAACGATTTGCTTGGTATCAGTAAGTGGGCAAGCTATCTGTCCTCAAGTCATATTAAGACAGGCAACACGACTGTAGAGAATAAAGAATGAAACTAAAGGATTTTCTGTTGTAATTTGCTGACCACTCCTTAGCCCAGTCCTTTTATTTCTTGCTTGACAACTAGAATCCCTGTTAGCACATTAATTCACAATTCCAAAGTGAAGAACCTGTGGGATTTTTTTAATTAGATCTAAAGTAGTGCTTTATGCTTTTGCCACCTGAAATAAAATTCAGCTATCCTTAAAAAGTTGTGATAGAGAAAGCAGTGAAATTGGATTATCTGAGATCATCTAAGTTTGAATCATAGCTTTACTGATTCCTTTCTTTTATGACCTTAGGCGGGTCACTTTATCTCTGTGGGCTTCAGGTTCTTTCTCTGTAAGGAGTTTTGATTTAGAAGATCGAAAGATTACTTTCATCTTAAGTATTTATGATCTCCAGCAGCACAGTCAATTCAACTTAAAATTTATCACCTCTTCCCCCCCCCCCCCCCCCGTAAGCTTTTTGGATGCTTTTGATGAGTAGAAAAGCAAGAATGCCTTCGATTGAGGTATGAGGAATACAAAGGTGTCAAAGGAACTTTACAGGAGTCCTCCGCTAGATAAGTTAACAGAAACATAGATGAATTACAAGTAAGACATGAAGTCCAACCGTTTAAATTTACAGATAATGCAACAGGCTTTAAGTAGCTTGTCCAATGAAGGTCACATAGCTGGCAAGCAGCAGGATTTGAACCAGCATCAGGACTACACCTCCCAGTCTTTATTGATTGCACTATTCTGCGTAAACTAGTTGGATCAAAGGGAACTGGGGCTAATTGAGAGCTCACTTTTCTGAAAGTTATGACTCTGTGAGCTAATTCCTAGTCTAGTGCTTGTTAGACTATTTTTTGATTTTCATGTAATTCAACGTGGCTTAAGGGCAAAGAGGAGTAAATTTTGTTTCTTGAAAAAATTTGGAGAATTCAAAGCTGTTACTAAAGTGGTTTTAAATGGCATATTTTCACTGCACTTGGTCTCTCACAAAATATTAAGATGTGTTTTTTCTTTGGAAAACAACTAGGCCAAGTTGGCATTTGCTTATGTCTGGTTTGTTTCAATGTATCCAGAGTTGTTGGGGTTGATGTTTTCTCAGAGAAAGTTCCAGTTCTGCTCTCTCCTTCCCTGCAATAATCCTGGGCTTCTACTTTGAACATAATTGAGATAGCTATTGAATAGGTTTCCAATGCCTTGTTTTGAGGGGGAAATAGCCCTTAAACATTTTGTTACTGTATTGTGTGTGATGCATACAAAACTTGTAGATAAACAAGTTTTTCAATTTTCCATTTATATGCAAACTTCACAGATTTCATAAAGGTAATCTTCAGTCAGTCACTGTTGGAGTTAAGTGCCTGTTATTCAAAAGCGAAGTATACCAAGTGTACTTTGTTTCAGCAAGACTAGTTTGTATTGACTAGTTTATCTCTTTCTGGAGGTGATAGGAAGTGGAGGCCCTTTTTAAAAGGCTCATTCTATATGAAAAAGTCTTTTTGAGTAGTTTTGGAAAGTCAAAGTCAGTTTGCAATGTGCTAACATTTAGTCTAATACTTAAGATATAGATAATATGATATCTCTCTAGCGATGCAAATTACAACCCCTCTATAACTTTGTAAATGGTCTCAGAGTTGCTGTTAGAAAAATTTGCCCTGTGGCCAGTCTGGTGATGAGGATCTTCCAGCATATCTAGGCCATTCTTTGGGCAAATATAATCAGATAGTTATCCTTATACACCAGACCTTTTGTGTATAGTCAAAACCTTTTGTGTATATTAAAACACTGGGGTTTTTTGTTTTGTTATTTTGGCCTACAATCCACTGAGGTACAGAACACCTTAAAAAAGACCCTCAAATAAGAATTTTTAAATGCATAGGGTGATGAAATATGTAGGTTACCAGATGTAGTATTAGCACTTCTATGTATAATTGGAGGTTTGGGTTTTTTTTCCCCCCCAAAAGTTTGTGAAGATCAATGATATTTTCAGCATTTTAATACCTAAAAGGGATACGTATCCCTAGATATAAATCAAAGTTTATTAATATGATTTCATGTGTGCCCAGTATGAGTGTAAT